GCATTCCCACGTCAACTTTTAAATATAACATGAGGTAATCCTTGATGTTTGTACAGTTCCCTAAATTAAATACTTTAAGAGCATTGTTATAATCTTCTTCAGACAGTGGAGAGTCATGTAAAACATTGTAAAACTTATCTCGCGAAGGGAGCTGAGGTTCATCTAACACGTCCATGGAAGAAATATAATCATAACATAGGCTTTGTTTACCTTTAATTAACAGAGCTTTAGCTTCATCGGATACGCCATTTAGTATGTGTTCAGTGTACTTGGTGGGTTTCTTACCGGCAACGTGCTCGCTTGCTAAGGTTCCTAATGACCCATTAAGGAGAGCTAGGCTATCTAGGAATTTAAGTTTACCTATGATGACTTGCATAAATTTCAATCCTTCCTTGGTTAGAATTTCTACATCGCGGTGAGGATTTTTGGACAGTTCTTTAAGTATAATTCCCAGATCATAGGCAGCATTATGGGAAAATGTGGTCAAGTATCTACGAGCATTTTTACATTGTAAATTGCAACGAGCACAATAAGCACCTAAGTAATTATTTTCCTGAATAGCATGATTATGATGTCTATGTTTATCTTTCTTATCCTTGAAAGTTTGATGACACAATTGACACGTATTTTGTCTTTGAAACATTCTTTCCTGTTCTCTAGACAAGTTCTTAGGGAAGTTGGGGAGCTGAGCATGAATAGCTTTCCATGAGGCTTCTAGCTTTGTAATAAAATGATTAACCGCATCTGGGCCTACGTATGAATACGTTTCTACGACATTGAATTCCCTGTCTAAAATCATGTAAGCATAAGCAATTGCTTTATGCTTACATTCCACCATGCCTCTAGGATTTTGACGGTCTAATAGACATTCAAAATCGTAATAGGCGGTGTGAGTTGGGCTATAGGTCCTACCGTAATTTTTAAAACTGATTTTATCACTAGGATTATAGAATGAAAATACTTGGGATACAGTGCATGACTCTTCGTGAGCCTGAATTTCATCTAAGGGGGCATGCAAAAGGCAAATTTTGCAGAATTTATGAGTGTTAGGAATATTATACTGATTATGGTTAATATTCTTTACAAATTTATCAAAGTCCTTGATCAGACAGAGATGCTTGCCTTCTAATAACAACAAAGGGACTTTATCGGCATACTTTTCCTGGCTTTTCCTAGCTAAACTAAGATAGTATCTGTTACTTTCATGAGTTATTGTATAAATATAAATAGAAATTTTGTTAAGCTTCTCTATTTTCTTAAGATTATCAAATGATACGGGGAATCTGATTTCATCTGCCCATACTACGAATCTTCTACACCATCGAAGGTTTTTGTAGCACTTTCTAACGTTATTCATAGTCCTGCCCATTGCTAAGTTTTTATACGCGGCAATGCACTGTAACAAACACTCATCTCCTTCACTTTCAGGATTAAATACTGATTCTTTACCCCTTAATTTCGCAGGATATGGTACGTAAGATCCAAGGTGCATAGGGTGGCGAATATATGAAAAATTAATGGCAAAGCCTGACATGGAATGAATTCCTACACTTGAGGATTGGACATTTTTTAGGCATTCGTCAATTTTAGCAGACATTTCGTCAACCCATGAATTTACAAGAACTTCCACCTCTTCCTGCGTAACAGTCTGAGTTTCGCCTCTAATTGAAAATACTTCATCTAATATTTCATATTGATCGTCGGCATGATTAAGTTTTTGCAAAATTAGGCTTACATCAGGGTAAATGTGAAATGAGGGAGGGAATTCTTCCTGTATTTGTCTGAACTGATTGTCTATATATTCTATAAAAAATTCCCTATACCTATTTATATATACGCTGGGGTCAGCGTCTAAATGTCCGGGAATGGAGAACGAATGTCTCGAGAAAGAACCTTCGAAATGGTTAATGACTTCTAACACTCGTGGAACAACGTTATCTAAGTTAAGTACCTCTGGGGAATCTGGAGCGTTGACTTCTTCATCTGATATGTCGTGAACAGGGGGTTGATTGTCTTCTTCTTCTTCATCTGAAGATGCATGCTGGTTGCCGTCTGGTGCATCTTCTTCTAGCTCCTGGGACAGCTGGGGTTGACTGCGTACAGGTGTGCTCCACTCAGAGGGTTGGGTTGAATCCAGGGGCGATTCTGTAATATAATATTAGCAATGAATAAACATTAAGAGGAAAGCAAATTTGAAACATTAAGAGGATTTGAAAACCTTAATAGGAAAATATCGTGTAAATAAGAGGAATTATTAAAAGGGAAAGCAAAAGGTCTAAATAAGAGGAAAAACTGAATTACAGATAAATAATATTACTTACGAGCTGGGATGTTGATTCCACCAAGTATGAGATTCTCTTGATCACGAATAGGAACTCCTGTAATGGAAATATTTTTTTGTATGAGTACTTATTACTTGTTTATACACTTGTTAAAATATACAATTAATAACTTTTAAAATTACGAAAATTATTGTGAAAACGTACGGTTATTTATGATGCGACGGCGCTTGGGTGGAGGTTCAAAGACGTTTCTGGCTTCGGTGGGAGGTTCCAGGTTAACGGAGAAACGACAGTATGGGCAGGAAGTAGAACCATGAACTGAAATGAAAATAATATATATAAATTGACTGTCTGTATGCATGTATGTGTGTTTCGGATATATATTTTCTTTGAAAGTTTATTGAATGTGCGAGAAAAAAGCGGTACTTACGATTTGCACAATAGAGTTGCCCACAGCTGGTACAGGTTACGTCAAAATGTCCAGGCGGTGTAGGCCCGTTGCATCCTATACAGTATAGTCTGCATTCTTGAAGAGCGTTGATGGACATTTCACCTAGGCATGTTAAACATCGTGTTTGACACACATGCCCGATTTCGTTGTTGATAGGAGACAGGCACAGAGGACACATTGACATGATGATATGACTAGACTGGGGGAACCTTGTGAACAGGATGAAGATTGAATGCAGACTGAAAGTGTAGGCCTCTGAGACTTTGGCGATCTGAGGGGGCCCCTGAATGAGCGTAATAACGATAGTGCGCCCCTGAGTGAGCGTTTGGCTGTTTTATTAATAGCGAGAATGATTGGTGAATACTGGGAATAAACTCTTTTATTATAAATTGTGTAAACTATGAATTAGATGACTAAATAAATTATAAATAAATAAATAAGTTTTATTAACGCTTAATGTATATATATATATATAAATTATTACGGTGGAGAATGCCGACAATGACTGGTGGATGTCTGGGGCAGGTAATCAGGTGATGATTGCCTCGGGCAGATAGCCTGGGGCAGGTAGCTGGGGCCAGCTTAGATAGTCTCTGAGGCAGTTTTCAGTATTAAAGGTTACATTGAGATGCTTCGGTTGATTTGTATAAAACTGACTGGTTAATGAAAAAGGAATAAAATATTAGTATGTCAGAAAATAGGAAGAGGGAATAATATGAAGAGGAGAGAGAGGGAGAGGAGGGAGAGAGAGAGAGAGGAGGGACGGTCCAGATATTATGAAGATAAGATAAGATTAAGAGCCGACTGGCTGGCCGGGCGTAAGGTAAATAAAGGTGACGCGAGAGATTGCGAGGTAAGGGGGGAGGGAGGGGGGTGTGAGGTACGAGACTTGAAAACCCTGACTTACACAGGTGATTTTCTAAATTTATATGAATAACTAAGGCTTACATAGACGATTTTTCTAAGTTGAAAACATGTAAAACATGTCCGTAGAGTTCTCCTGGAAACCCTAAAGCGCTACATACGTTACTTGAATTTGTCCCATAAGGCCTTAACAAACTTCTAAGTCTCGGAAATTATTTTTCTCGTAAGAAATCCTTACTTCTAAAATCCGTGACTGACAAAATTTACCTGAAAACCCCCAAGCGATACACACGAATTTCCAAGAAAACAAAAATTCGTCTGTGAGTCGTACGACTCACAGGGGAATTTCCAAATTCACCTGAAACCCCCCACGACTCACAGGGGAATTTTCTCCCAGAAAAAAAAATTCCTCTGTGAGTCTTACACCCTACTACTAGCGTGATCACTAACACCAGTTTGATCACTAGCACCAGTGTGACCACAAGCACCATTGCGACCACTAGCACCAGTGTGATATCTAGCACCTGTGTGATCACTAGCACCAGTGTGATCACTAGCACCAGTGTGACCACTAGCACCAGTGTGACCACTAGGACCTTTGTGAAGTCTAGCACCTGTGTGATCACGAGTACCTATGTGATCACTAGCACCAGTGACATCACTAGCACCAGTGTGACCACAAATACCCGTGTGACCACTAGCACCAGTTTGACCACTTTCACAAGTGTGTAACTTTCGCCAGTGGACCACTTGAACCAGTGTGACCACTTCCACTAGCGTGACCACAAGCACCAGTGTGACCACAAGCACCAGTGTGATCCTAGCACAAGTGTGATCACAAGCATCAGTGTGATCACTAGCAACTGCGTCATCACTAGCAATAGTGTGATCACTAGCACCAGTGTGACCACTAGCACCTGCGTGATCACTAGCACCAGTGTGATCACTAGCACCAACGTGATCACTAACACCAGTGTGATCACTAACACCAGTGAGACCACTGGCACCAGTGTGACCACTAGCACCTGTGTGAACACTATCACCTGTGTGATCACTAGCAAATGTGTGATCACTATCACCAGTGTGATCACAGGCACCAGTGTGATCACAAGCACCAGTGTGATCACTAGCACCAGTTTGATCACTAGCACCAGTGTGACCACTAGCATCAGTGTGATCACAAGCACAAGTGTGATCACTAGCTACACTATGATCACTAGCACCAGTGTGATCATTAGCACCAGTGTGACCAATAGCAAAAGTGTGACCACTAGCCCCAGTGTGACCACTTGCACCAGTGTTACCACTAGCACCAGTGTGATCAGTAGCAGCAGTGTGATCACTAGCACCAGTGTGACAACTAGCATCAGTGTGAACACTAGCACCAGTGTGATCACTAGCACCAGTGTGACCACTAGCACGAGTGTGATCATTAGCACTAGTGTAACCACTAGCACCAATGTGACCACTAGCATCTGTGAGAACACTTTCACCTGTGTGATCACTAGCACCCGTGTGATCACTAGCACTAGTGTGATCACTAGAACTAGTGTGATCACTAGCTACACTATGATCACTAGCACCTGTGTGATCATTAGCACCAGTGTGACCAATAGCAACAGTGTGACCACTAGCCCCAGTGTGATCACTTGCACCAGTGTGACCACTAGCACCAGTGTGATCAGTAGCAGCAGTGTGATCACTAGCACCTGTGTGACCACTAGCACCTGTGTGAACACTAGCACCTGTGTGAACACTAGCACCAGTGTGATCACTAACACCAGTGTGACCATGCACTAGCACGAGTGTGATCACTAGCACCAGTGTGACTACAAGTACCAATGTGATCACTAGCACCAGTGTGATCACTAGCACCAGTATGATCATTAGCACCCGTGTGATCACTAGCACTAGTGTGATCACTAGAACCAGTGTGATCACTAACACCAGTGTGACCACAAGGACCAGTTTGATCACTAGCACCGGTGTGATCACTAACACCAGTGTGACCACTAGCACGAGTGTGATCATTAGCACTAGTGTAACCACTAGCACCAGTGTGACCACTAGCACCTGTGAAAACACTATCACATGTGTGATCACTAGCACCCGTGTGATCACTAGCACTAGTGTGATCACTAGTACCAGTGTGATCACTAGCTACACTATGATCACTAGCACCAGTGTGATCATTAGCACCAGTGTGACCAATAGCAACAGTGTGACCACTAGCCCCAGTGTGACCACTGGCACCAGTGTGACCACTAGCACCAGTGTGACCACTAGCACGAGTGTGATCACTAGCACCAGTGTGACTTCAAGTACCAATGTGATCACTAGCACCAAAGTGATCACTAGCACTAGTGTGATCACTAGAACCAGTGTGATCACTAACACCAGTGTGACCACAAGCACCAGTGTGATCACTAGCTCCTGTGTGATCACTAGCACCAGTGTGATCACTAGCACCTGTGTAATCACTAGCACCAGTGTGATCACTTGCACCAGTGTGACCATTAGCACCATTGTGACAACTAGCACCAGTGTGATCACTAGCACCAGTGTGATCACAGGCGCCAGTGTGATCACAAGCACCAGTGTGATCACTAGCACCAGTTTGATCACTGGCACCAGTGTGACCACCAGCATCAGTGTGATCACAAGCACCAGTGTGATCACTAGCACCTGTGTAATCACTAGCACCAGTGTGATCACTAGCACCTGTGTAATCACTAGCACCAGTGTGATCACTAGCACCAGTGTGACCATTAGCACCATTGTGACCACTAGCACCAGTGTGATCACAGGCGCCAGTGTGATCACAAGCTCCAGTGTGATCACTAGCACCAGTTTGATCACTGGCACCAGTGTGACCACTAGCATCAGTGTGATCACAAGCACCAGTGTGATCACTAGCTACAGTATGATCACTAGCACCAGTGTTATCATTATCACCAGTGTTACCAATAGCAACAGTGTGACCACTAGCCCAAGTGTGACTACTAGCACCAGTGTGACCACTAGCACCAGTGTGACCACTTACAAGTGTATGGCCACAAGCACCAGTGTGACCACTTGCACCAGTGAGACCAATAGCAACAGTGTCATTACTAGTATTAGGGTGACTACAAACGCCAGTGTGAACACTAGCACCAGTATGACCACTAGCACCTGTGTGACCACTAGCACCAGTGTGACCACTAGCCCCAGTGTGACCACTAGCACCAGTGTGATCTCTAGTAGCAGTGTGATCACGAGCACCTGTGTGACCACTAGCAACAGTGTGATCACTAGCACCAGTGTGATCACTAGCACCAGTGTGACCACTAGCACCAGTGTGACCACTAGCACCAATGTGATCACTAGCACCAGTGTGACCACTAGCACCAGTGTGACCACTTGCACCAGTGAGAACACTATCACCTGTGTGATAGTGATCACTAACACTAAAGTGATCACTATCATCATTGTGACAACAAGCACCAAAGTGACCACGAGCACCAGTGTGATCACTAGCACCAGTGTGATCACTAGCAACAGTGTGATCACTAGCACCAGTGTGATCACAAGCACCAGTGTGACCACTAGCACCAGTGAGATCACAAATACCAGTGTGACCACTAGCACTAGTGTGATCACTAGCACCAGTGTGACCACTAGCATTAGTTTGACCACTAGCACCTCTGTGAACACTAGCACCTGTGTGATCACGAGCACCTGTGTGATCACTAGCACCAGTGTCATCACTAGCACCAGTGTGACCAAAAATACCAGTGTGACGGCTAGCACCAGTCTGACCACTTTCACCAGTGTGACAACTTTCACCAGTGGACCACTTGAACCAGTGTGACCACTTCCACTAGCGTGACCACAAGCACCAGTGTCACCACTAGCACCAGTGTGACCACTAGCACCAGTGTGATCCTAGCACAAGTGTGATCACAAGCATCAGTGTGATCACTAGCAACAGCGTCATCACTAGCAAAAGTGTGATCACTAGCACCAGTGTGACCACTAGCACCTGTGTGATCACTAGCACCAGAGTGATCACTAGCACCAGCATGATCACTAGCACCAGTTTGATCACTAGCACTAGTGTGACCACAAGCACCATTGCGACCACTAGCACCAGTGTGATCACTAGCACCTGTGTGATCACTAGCACTAGTGTGATCACTAGCACCAGTGTGACCACTAGCACCAGTGTGACCACTAGGACCTTTGTGAACTCTAGCACCTGTGTGATCACGAGCACCTATGTGATCACTAGCACCAGTGTGACCACAAATACCAGTGTGACCACTAGCACCAGTGTGACCACTTTCACCAGTGTGATAACTTTCACCAGTGGACCACTTGAACTAGTGTGACCACTTCCACTAGCGTGACCACAAGCACCAGTGTGACCACAAGCACCAGTGTGACAATTAGCACCTGTGTAATCACTAGCACCAGTGTGACCACTAGCACAAGTGTGATCACTAGCACCTGCGTAATCACTAGCACCAGTGTGATCACTAGCACGTGTGATCACAAGCACCAGTGTGACCAAAACACCTTTGTGACCCCTAGCACCGGTGTGACCACTAGCATCAGTGTGACCATTAGCACCAGTGTGACCACTAGCACCAGTATGATCACAGGCGCCAGTGTGATCACAAGACCAGTGTGATCACTAGCACCCGTTTGATCACTAGCAGCAGTGTTATCATTTTCACCAGTGTGACCAATAGCAACAGTGTGACCACTAGCCCAAGTGTGACCACTAGCACCAGTGTGACCACTAACACCAGTGTGATCACTAGCACCAGTGTGATCACTAGCACCAGTGTGACCACTAGCACTTGTGTGACCGCTAACACCATTGTGACCACTAGCACCAGTGTGATCACTAGCACCAGTGTGATCACCAGAACCAGTGTAATCACTAGCACCAGTGTGACCACTAACACAAGTGTGATCACTAGCACCAGTGTGACCACTAGGACCTTTGTGAACTCTAGCACCTGTGTGATCATGAGCACCTATGTGATCACTAGCACCAGTGTCATCACTAGCACCAGTGTGACCACAAACACCAGTGTGACCACTAGCACCAGTCTGACCACTTTCACCAGTGTGATAACTTTCACCAGTGGACCACTTGAACTAGTTTGACCACTTCCACTAGCGTGAACACAAGCACCAGTGTGACCACAAGCACCAGTGTGATCCTAGAACAAGTGTGATCACTAGCAATAGTGTGATCACTAGCACCAGTGTGACCACTAGCACCTGTGTGATTACTAGCACCAGTGTAATCACTAGCACCAGCGTGATCACTAGCACCAGTGTGATCACTAGCACCAGTGTGACCACAAGGACCATTGTGACCACTAGCACCTAAGTGATCACTAGCACCTGTGTGATCACTAGCACCAGTGTGATCACTAGCGCCAGTGTGATCACAATCACCAGTGTGACCACTTGCACCAGTGTGATCACTAGCACCTGTGTGATCTCTACCACCAGTGTGATCACTAGCACCAGTGTGACCACTAGCACCAGTTTTACCACTATCACCAGTGTGACCACTAGCACCTGTGTGATCACTAGCACCTGTGTGATCACGAGCACTTGTGTGTTCACTAGCACTAGTGTGATCACTAGCACTAGTGTGACAACAAAGACCAGTAAGACGACTAGCACCAGTGTGACTACTTTCACCAGTGTGACCACTTTCACCAGTGTGACCACTTTCACCAGTAGACCACATGAACCAGTGTGACCAATTCCACTAGGGGTATCACAAGCACCAGTATGACCACAAGCACCAGAGTGACAATTAGCACCTCTGTAATCACTAGCACCAGTGTGACCACTAGCACAAGTGAGATCACTAGCACCTGTGTAATCACTAGCACCAGTGTGATCATTAGCACTTGTGATCACAAGCACCAGTGTGACCAAAACACCTTTGTGACCCCTAGAACCGGTGTGACCGCTAGCATCAGTGTGACCATTAGCACCAGTGTGACCACTAGCACCAGTATGATCACAGGCGCCAGTGTGATCACAAGACCAGTGTGATCACTAGCACCAGTTGTATCACTAGCACCAGTGTTATCATTTTCACCAGTGTGACCAATAGCAACAGTGTGACCACTAGCCCAAGTGTGACCACTAGCACCAGTGTGACCACTAACACCAGTGTGATCACCAGAACCAGTGTAATCACTAGCACCAGTGTGACCACTAACACAAGTGTGATCACTAGCACCAGTGTGACCACTAGGACCTTTGTGAACTCTAGCACCTGTGTGATCACGAGCACCTATGTGATCACTAGCACCAGTGTCATCACTAGCACCAGTGTGATCACAAATACCAGTGTGACCACTAGCACCAGTCTGACCACTTTCACCAGTGTGATAACTTTCACCAGTGGACACCTTCAACTAGTGTGACCACTTCCACTAGCTTGACCACAAGCACCAGTGTGACCACAAGCACCAGTGTCATCCTAGAACAAGTGTGATCACTAGCAATAGTGTGATCACTAGCACCAGTGTGACCACTAGCACCTGTGTGATTACTAGCACCAGTGTAATCACTAGCACCAGCGTGATCACTAGCACCAGTGTGATCACTAGCACCAGTGTGACCACAAGGACCATTGTGACCACTACACCTAAGTGATCACTAGCACCAGTGTGATCACTAGCACCAGTGTGACCACAAGGACCATTGTGACCACTAGCACCTAAGTGATCACTAGCACCTGTGTGATCACTAGCACCAGTGTGATCACTAGCGCCAGTGTGATCACAATCACCAGTGTGACCACTTGCACCAGTGTGATCACTAGCACCTGTGTGATCTCTACCACCAGTGTGATCACTAGCACCAGTGTGACCACTAGCACCAGTTTTACCACTATCACCAGTGTGACCACTAGCACCTGTGTGATCACTAGCACCTGTGTGATCACGAGCACTTGTGTGTTCACTAGCACTAGTGTGATCACTAGCACTAGTGTGACAACAAAGACCAGTAAGACGACTAGCACCAGTGTGACTACTTTCACCAGTGTGACCACTTTCACCAGTGTGACCACTTTCACCAGTAGACCACATGAACCAGTGTGACCACTTCTACTACGGGTATCACAAGCACCAGTATGACCACAAGCACCAGAGTGACAATTAGCACCTCTGTAATCACAAGCACCAGTGTGACCACTAGCACAAGTGTGATCACTAGCACCTGTGTAATCACTAGCACCAGTGTGATCACTAGCACGTGTGATCACAAGCACCAGTGTGACCAAAACACCTTTGTGACCCCTAGCACCGGTGTGACCGCTAGCATCAGTGTGACCATTAGCACCAGTGTGACCACAAGCACCAGTATGATCACAGGCGCCAGTGTGATCACAAGACCAGTGTGATCACTAGCACCAGTTTGATCACTAGCACCAGTGTTATCATTTTCACCAGTGTGACCAATAGCAACAGTGTGACCACTAGCCCAAGTGTGACCACTAGCACCAGTGTGACCACTAACACCAGTGTGATCACTAGCACCAGTGTGATCACTAGCACCAGTGTGACCACTAGCACTTGTGTGACCGCTAACACCATTGTGACCACTAGCACCAGTGTGATCACTAGCACCAGCGTGATCACCAGAACCAGTGTAATCACTAGCACCAGTGTGACCACTAACACAAGTGTGATCACTAGCATCAGTGTGACCACTAGCACCAGTGTGATCTCTAGCACCAGTGTGACCACTAGCACCAGTATGATCAAGAGCTCCAGTGTGATCACTTGCAACAGTGTGACCACTTGCACCTGTGTGACCACTTACAAGTGTATGACCACAAGCACCAGTGTGACCACTTTCACCAGTGAGACCAATAGCAACAGTGTGATTACTAGCATTAGTGTGACTACAAGCACCAGTGTGACCACTAGCACCAGTGTGACCACTAGCACCAGTGTGACCACTAGCACCAGTGTGACCACTTGCACCAAAGTGACCACTTGCACTAGTGTGACCACTAACACCAGTGTGAACACTAACAACAGTATGGCCACTAGCACCAGTGTGATCACTAGCACCAGTGTGACCACTAGCACCAGTGTGATCACAAGCACCAGTGTGACCACTAGCACCAGTTTGATCACTTGCACCAGTGTGACCACTAGCTACAGTATGATCACTAGCACCAGTGTGATCATTAGCACCAGTGTGACCAATAGCAACAGTGTGACCCCTAGCACCAGTGTGACTACTAGCACCAGAGTGACCACTAGCACTAGTGTGATCTCTAGTAGCAGTGTGATCACTAGCACCTGTGTGACCACTAGCACCAGTGTGATCACTTGCACTAGTGTGATCACTAGCACCAGTGTGACCACAAGCACCAGTGTAACCACTAGCACCAGTGTCATCACTAACACCAGTGTGACCACTAGCACCAGTGTGACCACTAGCACCTGTGTGAACACTAGCACCTGTGTGACCACTATCACCTGTGTGATCACGAGCAAATGTGTGATCACTATCACAAGTGTCATCACAGGCACCAGTGTGATCACAAGCACCAGTGTGGTCACTAGCACCAGTTTGATCACTAGCACCAGTGTGACCACTAGCATCAGTGTGATCACAAGCACAAGTGTGATCACTAGCTACACTATGATCACTAGCACCAGTGTGATCATTAGCACCAGTGTGACCAATAGCAAAAGTGTGACCACTAGCACCAGTGTGACCACTTGCACCAGTGTGACCACTAGCACCAGTGTGATCACTAGCACCAGTGTGATCACTAGCACCAGTGTGACCACTAGCACCAGTGTGAACACTAGCACCAGTGTGATCACTAACACCAGTGTGACCACTAGCACGAGTGTGATCATTAGCACTAGTGTAACCACTAGCACCAGTGTGACCACTAGCACCTGTGAGAACACTATTACCTGTGTGATCACTAGCACCCATGTGATCACTAGCACTAGTGTGATCACTAGAACCAGTGTGATCACTAGCTACACTATGATCACTAGCACCAGTGTGATCATTAGCACCAGTGTGACCAATAGCAACAGTGTGACCACTAGCCCCAGTGTGACCACAAGCACCAGTGTGACCACTAGCACCAGTGTCTTCACATGCACCAGTGTGATCACAAGCACCAGTGTGATCACTAGCACCAGTTTGATCACTAGCACCAGTATGACCACTGGCATCAGTGTGATCACAAGCACTAGTGTGATCACTAGCTACAATATGATCACTAGCACCAGTGTGATCAATATCACCAGTGTGACCAATAGCAACAGTGTGACCACTAGCCCAAATGTGACCACTAGCACCAGTGTGACCACTAGCACCAGTGTGACCAATTGCACCAGTGTGACCAATTGCACCAGTGTGACCACTTACAAGTGTATGACCACAAGCACAAGTGTGACCACTTGCACCAGTGTGACCAATAGCAACAGTGTGATTACTAGTATTAGTGTGACTACAAACGCCAGTGTGAACACTAGCACCAGTATGACCACTAGCACCAGTGTGACCACTAGCACCAGTGTGACTACTAGCCCCAGTGTGACCACTAGCACCAGTGAGACCACTAGCACCAGGGTGATCTCTATTAGCAGTGTGATCACGAGCACCTGTGTGACCACTAGCAACAGTGTGATCACTAGCACCAGTGTGATCACTAGCACCAGTGTGACCACTAGCACCAGTGTGACCACTAGCACCAGTGTGATCACTAGCACCAGTGTGACCACTAGCACCAGTGTGACCACTTGCACCAGTGAGAACACTATCACCAGATAGTGATCACTAACACTAAAGTGATCACTAGCACCATTGTGACAACAAGCACCAAAGCGACCACGAGCACTAGTGTGATCACTAGCACCAGTGTGATCACTAGCAACAGTGTGATCACTAGCACCAGTGTGATCACAAGCACCAACGTGACCACTAGCACCAGTGAGAGCGTAAGCACCAGTGTGACCACTAGCACTAGTGTGATCACTAGCACCAGTGTGACCACTAGCACCAGTTTGACCACTAGCACCAGTGTGACCACTAGCACCTGTGTGATCACGAGCACCTGTGTGATCACTAGCACCAGTATGACCAAAAATACCAGTGTGACCACTAGCACCAGTGTGACCACTTTCACCAGTGTGACCACTTTCACCAGTGTGACCACTTGCACCAGTGTGACCACTTCCACTAGCGTGACCACAAGCACCAGTGTCACCGCTAGCACCAGTGTGACCACTAGCACCAGTGTGATCACTAGCACAAGTGTGATCACAAGCATCAGTGTGATCACTAGCAACTGCGTCATCACTAGCAAAAGTGTGATCACTAGCACCAGTGTGACCACTAGCACCTGTGTGATCACTAGCACCAGAGTGATCACTAGCACCAGCGTGATCACTAACACCAGTTTGATCACTAGCACCAGTGTGACCACAAGCACCATTGCGACCACTAGCACCAGTGTGATATCTAGCACCTGTGTGATCACTAGCACCAGTGTGATCACTAGCACCAGTGTGACCACTAGCACCAGTGTGACCACTAGGACCTTTGTGAAGTCTAGCACCTGTGTGATCACTAGTACCAGTGTGATCACTAGCACCAGTGACATCACTAGCACCAGTGTGACCACAAATACCCGTGTGACCACTAGCACCAGTGTGACCACTTTCACAAGTGTGTAACTAGCGCCAGTGGACCACTTGAACCAGTGTGACCACTTCCACCAGTGTGACCACAAGCACCAGTGTGACCACAAGCACCAGTGTGACCACTAGCACAAGTGTGATCACAAGCATCAGTGTGATCACTAGCAACTGCGTCATCACTAGCAATAGTGTGATCACTAGCACCAGTGTGACCACTAGCACCTGTGTGATCACTAGCACCAGTGTGATCACTAGCACCAACGTGATCACTAACACCAGTGTGATCACTAACACCAGTGAGACCACTGGCACCAGTGTGACCACTAGCACCTGTGTGAACACTATCACCTGTGTGATCACGAGCAAATGTGTGATCACTATCACCAGTGTGATCACAGGCACCAGTGTGATCACAAGCACCAGTGTGATCACTAGCACCAGTTTGATCACTAGCACCAGTGTGACCACTAGCATCAGTGTGATCACAAGCACAAGTGTGATCACTAGCTACACTATGATCACTAGCACCAGTGTGATCATTAGCACCCGTGTGACCAATAGCAAGCAGTGTGACCACTAGCCCCAGTGTGACCACTTGCACCAGTGTGACCACTAGCACCAGTGTGATCAGTAGCAGCAGTGTGATCACTAGCACCAGTGTGACAACTAGCATCAGTGTGAACACTAGCACCAGTGTGATCACTAGCACCAGTGTGACCACTAGCACGAGTGTGATCATTAGCACTAGTGTAACCACTAGCACCAGTGTGACCACTAGCATCTGTGAGAACACTTTCACCTGTGTGATCACTAGCACCCGTGTGATCACTAGCACTAGTGTGATCACTAGAACTAGTGTGATCACTAGCTACACTATGATCACTAGCACCTGTGTGATCATTAGCACCAGTGTGACCAATAGCACCAGTGTGACCACTAGCACCAGTGTGATCACTTGCACCAGTGTGACCACTAGCACCAGTGTGATCACTAGCACCAGTGTGATCACTAGCACCAGTGTGACCACTAGCACCTGTGTGAACACTAGCACCTGTGTGAACACTAGCACCAGTGTGATCACTAACACCAGTGTGACCATGCACTAGCACGAGTGTGATCACTAGAACCAGTGTGACCACAAGCACCAATGTGATCACTAGCACCAGTGTGATCACTAGCACCAGTATGATCACTAGCACCCGTGTGATCACTAGCACTAGTGTGATCACTAGCACCAGTGTGATCACTAACACCAGTGTGACCACTAGCACCAGTGTGATCACTAGCACCAGTGTGATCACTAACACCAGTGTGACCACTAGCACGAGTGTGATCATTAGCACTAGTGTAACCACTAGCACCAGTGTGACCACTAGCACCTGTGTGAACACTAGCACCAGTGTGATCACTAGCACCAGTGTGATCACTAGCACTAGTGTGATCACTAGCACCAGTGTGATCACTAGCTACACTATGATCACTAGCACCAGTGTGATCATTAGCACCAGTGTGACCAATAGCAACAGTGTGACCACTAGCCCCAGTGTGACCACTTGCACCAGTGTGACCACTAGCACCAGTGTGACCACTAGCACCAGTGTGATCACTAGCACCAGTGTGACCACAAGCACCAGTGTGATCACTAGCACCAGTGTGATCACTAGCACCAGTGTGATCACTAGCACCAGTGTGATCACTAGCACCAGTGTGACCACAAGCACCAGTGTGATCACTAGCACCAGTGTGATCACTAGCAACAGTGTGATCACTAGCACCTGTGTAATCACTAGCACCAGTGTGATCACTTGCACCAGTGTGACCATTAGCACCAGTGTGACAACTAGCACCAGTGTGATCACAGGCGCCAGTGTGATCACAAGCACCAGTGTGATCACTAGCACCAGTTTGATCACTAGCACCAGTGTGACCACCAGCACCAGTGTGATCACAAGCACCAGTGTGATCACTAGCACCTGTGTGATCACTAGCACCAGTGTGATCACTAGCACCAGTGTGTAATCACTAGCACCAGTGTGATCACTAGCACCAGTGTGACCACTAGCACCAGTGTGACCACTAGCACCAGTGTGATCACTAGCACCAGTGTGATCACAAGCACCAGTGTGACCACTAGCACCAGTGTGATCACTGGCACCAGTGTGACCACTAGCATCAGTGTGATCACTAGCACCAGTGTGATCACTAGCACCAGTGTGATCACTAGCACCAGTGTGATCATTATCACCAGTGTGACCAATAGCAACAGTGTGACCACTAGCACAAGTGTGACCACTAGCACCAGTGTGACCACTAGCACCAGTGTGACCACTTACAAGTGTATGGCCACAAGCACCAGTGTGACCACTTGCACCAGTGAGACCACTAGCACCAGTGTGATTACTAGTATTAGTGTGACTACAAACGCCAGTGTGAACACTAGCACCAGTGTGACCACTAGCACCAGTGTGACCACTAGCACCAGTGTGACCACTAGCACCAGTGTGACCACTAGCACCAGTGTGCCCACTGGCATCAGTGTGATCACAAGCACCAGTGTTATCACAAGTACCAGTGTGACCACTAGCACCTGTGTGATCACTAGCACCAGTGTGATCACTAGCACCAGTGTGATCACTAGCACCAGTGTGACCACTAGCACCAGTGTGATCACTAGCACCAGTGTGATCACTAGCACCAGTGTGACCACTTGCACCAGTGTGACCACTAGCACCTGTGTGATAGTGATCACTAGCACCAGTGTGATCACTAGCACCAGTGTGACTGCAAGCACCAATGTGACCACTAGCACCAGTGTGATCACTAGCACCAGTGTGATCACTAGCATCAGTGTGATCACTATATAGCACCAGTGTGATCACAAGCACCAGTGTGACCACTAGCACCAGTGTGATCACAAGCACCAGTGTGACTACAAGCACCAGTGTGACCACTAGCACCAGTGTGACCACTAGCACCAGTGTGATCACTGGCACCAGTGTGACCACTAGCACCAGTGTGACCACTAGCACCAGTATAATCACTAGCACCAGTGTGATCACTAGCACCAGTGTGACCACTAGCACCAGTGTGACACTAGCACCAGTCTGACCACTTTCACCAGTGTGACCACTTTCACCAGTGTGACCACTTGAACCAGTGTGACCACTTCCACCAGTGTGACCACAAGCACCAGTGTGACCACTAGCACCAGTGTGACCACTAGCACCAGTGTGATCACTAGCACCAGTGTGATCACAAGCACCAGTGTGATCACTAGCAACAGTGTGATCACTAGCAAAAGTGTGATCACTAGCACCAGTGTGACCACTAGCACCAGTGTGATCACTAGCACCAGAGTGATCACTAGCACCAGCATGATCACTAGCACCAGTTTGATCACTAGCACTAGTGTGACCACAAGCACCAGTGTGACCACTAGCACCAGTGTGATCACTAGCACCTGTGTGATCACTAGCACACCAGTGTGATCACTAGCACCAGTGTGACCACTAGCACCAGTGTGACCACTAGCACCAGTGTGAACTCTAGCACCTGTGTGATCACTAGCACCTGTGTGATCACTAGCACCAGTGTGACCACAAATAGCACCAGTGTGACCACTAGCACCAGTGTGACCACTTTCACCAGTGTGACCACTTTCACCAGTGGACCACTTGCACTAGTGTGACCACTAGCACCAGTGTGACCACAAGCACCAGTGTGACCACAAGCACCAGTGTGACAATTAGCACCTGTGTAATCACTAGCACCAGTGTGACCACTAGCACAAGTGTGATCACTAGCACCAGTGTAATCACTAGCACCAGTGTGATCACTAGCACGTGTGATCACAAGCACCAGTGTGACCAAAACACCTTTGTGACCACTAGCACCGGTGTGACCACTAGCATCAGTGTGACCATTAGCACCAGTGTGACCACTAGCACCAGTATGATCACAGGCGCCAGTGTGATCACAAGACCAGTGTGATCACTAGCACCAGTTTGATCACTAGCACCAGTGTGATCATTTTCACCAGTGTGACCAATAGCAACAGTGTGACCACTAGCACAAGTGTGACCACTAGCACCAGTGTGACCACTAACACCAGTGTGATCACTAGCACCAGTGTGATCACTAGCACCAGTGTGACCACTAGCACCAGTGTGACCGCTAACACCATTGTGACCACTAGCACCAGTGTGATCACTAGCACCAGTGTGATCACCAGAACCAGTGTGATCACTAGCACCAGTGTGACCACTAGCACAAGTGTGATCACTAGCACCAGTGTGACCACTAGCACCAGTGTGAACACTAGCACCTGTGTGATCATGAGCACCAGTGTGATCACTAGCACCAGTGTCATCACTAGCACCAGTGTGACCACAAACACCAGTGTGACCACTAGCACCAGTGTGACCACTTTCACCAGTGTGATAACTTTCACCAGTGTGACCACTTGAACTAGTTGTGACCACTTCCACTAGCGTGACCACAAGCACCAGTGTGACCACAAGCACCAGTGTGATCCTAGAACAAGTGTGATCACTAGCAATAGTGTGATCACTAGCACCAGTGTGACCACTAGCACCTGTGTGATTACTAGCACCAGTGTGATCACTAGCACCAGTGTGATCACTAGCACCAGTGTGATCACTAGCACCAGTGTGACCACAAGCACCAGTGTGACCACTAGCACCAGTAAGTGATCACTAGCACCAGTGTGATCACTAGCACCAGTGTGATCACTAGCACCAGTGTGATCACAATCACCAGTGTGACCACTTGCACCAGTGTGATCACTAGCACCTGTGTGATCACTACCACCAGTGTGATCACTAGCACCAGTGTGACCACTAGCACCAGTGTGACCACTATCACCAGTGTGACCACTAGCACCTGTGTGATCACTAGCACCAGTGTGATCACTAGCACTTGTGTGTTCACTAGCACCAGTGTGATCACTAGCACCAGTGTGACAACAAAGACCAGTAAGACGACTAGCACCAGTGTGACCACTAGCACCAGTGTGACCACTTTCACCAGTGTGACCACTTTCACCAGTGTAGACCACATGAACCAGTGTGACCAATTCCACTAGGGTATCACAAGCACCAGTATGACCACAAGCACCAGTGTGACAATTAGCACCAGTGTAATCACTAGCACCAGTGTGACCACTAGCACAAGTGTGATCACTAGCACCTGTGTAATCACTAGCACCAGTGTGATCACTAGCACTTGTGATCACAAGCACCAGTGTGACCAAAACACCTTTGTGACCCCTAGCACCGGTGTGACCGCTAGCATCAGTGTGACCATTAGCACCAGTGTGACCACTAGCACCAGTATGATCACAGGCGCCAGTGTGATCACAAGACCAGTGTGATCACTAGCACCAGTTTTATCACTAGCACCAGTGTTATCATTTTCACCAGTGTGACCAATAGCAACAGTGTGACCACTAGCCCAAGTGTGACCACTAGCACCAGCGTGACCACTAACACCAGTGTGATCACTAGCACCAGTGTGATCACTAGCACCAGTGTGACCACTAGCACTTGTGTGACCGCTAACACCATTGTGACCACTAGCACCAGTGTGATCACTAGCACCAGCGTGATCACCAGAACCAGTGTAATCACTAGCACCAGTGTGACCACTAACACAAGTGTGATCACTAGCATCAGTGTGACCACTAGCACCAGTGTGATCTCTAGCACCAGTGTAACCACTAGCCCCAGTATGATCAAGAGCTCCAGTGTGATCACTTGCAACAGTGTGACCAATTGCACCTGTGTGACCACTTACAAGTGTATGACCACAAGCACCAGTGTGACCACTTTCACCAGTGAGACCAATAGCAACAGTGTGATTACTAGCATT